TCATATTGATCTGGATCAGAAAACATTGCAGCAGATGTACTCTCTAGATGTTTTGCCACAAATACCAATTTTAGCACACTACGACAGCTACATATCAAACTACATATTTGCCACCCAGGAGTAACAAGATTGAACCGTTTCTGCAAGACACGGAATTTACCCTCATTATCGGTGAAATTAGAGATGTAATTTCTGAGTGTCAGGTATGCTCTGAGCCCAAACCAAAGTTTTTTCAACCCCCGCCTGGCCAACTCATATCCTCTACTAGACCATGGGAAAGACTCTCTAAGGATTTTGTTGACCCTCTTACTCAAAAACAGTAAACAAATACCTTTTAGTCATAATTGATGAGTATTTCAGATACCCATTTGCATTCCCTTGCTCCCAAATCATCTCTGATACAGTAATAAAGCACCTTTTAGAAATATTTTCTCTCTATGGCACCCCTGCCTGCATTCACTCTAATTGTGGTACTCAGTTTGAAAAAAAATGAAAAATTTTTCTTATAAGCAACGGTGTCAGCAAGGCACACACAATACCATATCAACCACAAGGTTATGGAAAATATGAAAGACTGAACTCCACGATCATGAAAACAATAAACTTAGCTTTACGAAGTTTTGAACATGAAAAAACTGACAGGGAAATGGTACTTCCGGCAGCTCTATCCTCTATTCGATCACTACTATGGACTTCAACAAATTCTGGTCCACACACCAGATTAATGGGTTTCAAACGCTTAATTATTACTGGTGTTGATCTACCTGACTTTTTAGTAGAATCAGGTAGTACAGATAGAAATTCTCTAGAATTTCTTTAGAATTTCTATTAATTTTTATACAAATTGCTGTAAAAAAATTTTTTTATAGAAAAAAAAATTAGAAAAAATTTCTTCTAAGAATTTCTATAGGAATTAACAGAGGTTCTATAGAAATTCTATAGAGTTCTATAGAATTACTGTTTCAGAAATTCTATAGAGTTCTATAGAATTTCTATAAGAAAAAATGTTACAAAAAATTATAGAAGTTCTATAAAACTTTTTTTCCTGGGCTGTGTTGAATTGATCAAAGATAAACATTTCAAATGGATGCTTGCAGCTGGATCCTTAGATATTACAAAATAGGAATGTCTTTTAATATAAGAACTTGCACTGATAACTATAAATTGAATAATTTTATTAAGTATATAAATGGGTTAACGGTCTTTCTTTAGATGCTTTGTTAACATATATTTAAGATATCCTTTTGAGATGCAACTTGGAATATACAAAAGATGTCGAAATTGGTTTAGATGAAGCATCAGTTATAAAATGCTTGGCAGTAAAACTGAAAATTACTTTGGGACAACAAGCTCAGTATTTTCATTGAATTACATACTTTATTGAGTTAATTATTGAAGATACTTATACAATATCATCACTATTGATAGGTTCTCTTAGCACGGTCCAGTCAATATATGAAAATGTTGGGGCAATATCTAAAAGGTTTTGAATTTTTTGAACAAATCCAAAAAGGTGCATTGCATAAGTTTGAATCAGGTGAATACAACTACTTTTAATTATGAACAAAAGCAACACAAGTGTTGTTGGAAAAGTTTGTAAAACTTCCTACAATACTGAACAGTCTTCAGAGTTACAAGACTATTGCTGTAAAAGCATGAGCACAAATTATAGGCTTATTATCTGAGCTTTCATCAGTAAAAGACTTGAACCAATTTTAAACTAATTGCAATTTTAGCGATTTATTAAAACCATTTACAAGAAATTAATCTAAGAGGTTATATTGCAGTATTCTGTACTTGGAAATGCGTAATAAGACCATTGAGTCTTCTTAAAAGCACCTTTATAACTTAAGAAAAAAAATGTAAATAATGTTTAATAAAAATCAACGTTAAATAGAATATAAAAAATTTTAAATGTTTTAAATTGTCTTAAACTAATTATTACTTTTAAAACTTAACGTCATCAATTGTACAACATGACGTCATCAAGGTACAAATTGATTTCATCTTAAACTATTTTACAAAATAAAATAGAGTATTTTTAGTGTGAGACCATCATAAAAAGTATTGTAACCCAAGACTTTTGGTCTTCTTATACTTTTAACCACAAGCAAGTTCTGTCTTTTTTTTTTTACCTACTCTACGCTATACATAAAGAGTAGTGGTAACATAAAAGAGTTAAAAAATTTAAAATTATTGATTAATGTAACACTAACATTAACTCTGCAATAACACTATTCACAATATACACCTGTTTTTTATAGAAAATCTGTTAGTAACATTTTCAATATTTTTATGTATTTAATTATTACAAATACAATATTTAGGTACTTATACATTGAAATTCTTTTTGTATAAGTGGCTTAACCGGAGATCGAATCAACACTGCTTTAATAACTGAGGAGCGAGCTTACCAACTGGGCTATATTTTGTTATAAGACGCTACGAATCATCTGAGATTAGTTATAGTTTTAGACTGCAGTAAACAAGTAAAAAATGATTTAAAATCAAAAACATGTTTTTACAACAAAACAAAACAAAAGGATAAATTTAAATTTAATTGGAATGTAATAAGGTCTTTATTTTTGGTGTCTTTGTTTACAGAACTATAAACAGTATTTTATGTTTAAAACATCTATAAATTCAATCCATTTAGTTTAACAGATTTTTTTTTTCGTTTATACATGCTTCCCAAATTTTTTGATTATTTTTTGAATAATTAAAAAACTTTTTCCAAAGCCAAAAGCTTTGCATATTAACTCTTAGCTTGAACAAACGACGGCAAACGTTATACAACAAATAATTCTAAACAATTTTTTACTCGGAACTGAATTTTAGCATTAAAGTTTTCTTCAATATTTGTGGCTTCAAGTTCTTTTCTAGTATTTTTTTCCACGGAGCAGAAGAATAAGTTCAATGACTAAAACTTGTTTTGAATGTGTTTTGTGTCGTCAGCAATTATATTTTATCCTCCTGAAAAAATGCCATAAAAAGTGCCATTTGTTATGGCAAATAGCGACCATGTCTACCATTGGTAAATTCAGAGGTAAATTGCGGGACCTTATTCCTCTCAGTTATTCATTAAGCATTACTTTAGTAGCTTCCAGACTAAAAATAATAAAAGTTCCAATATCAATTGTTGTAAAAATAGGATTAATTTCAAGATCAGTTGCTGCATTTACATTTTTTCTAGAAATCTAAACCACTTTTTTTAACTTGGGCTTATAATTAAGTGCCTTAACTCAAAATTATTGCTGTTCACTCACAATCTTCAGTAATCACACACAATCTTCAGTAATCTCCTTCTCAAACTTATTTCTATCAGCCCCCGCTTCAGTATATGATATATATATATACATATACATAGATACATATATATTCATACATACATATTTTTTTTACTTTCTTTTTATTGTTTTCCTATGATTTTTTAAATTAAACTTTTTTTTTATGTTAACCAAGTAATATGCAATTACCATAGCATGCTTACTGCGATCGTTTTTTATATGGAACAATCAACCACGTGGTTTAATACATGCAGAAAAATGTTCTTCTTTGACAAGTAAAGAAAGTTTGCGATTCTATTAAATTTGCAACTTCTTTCTTTTTATAATCCTTTATCACACATGTTATTTACTTTTCGTGCACCTTTTTAATAAAATGGTATGCATTTATAAACACTAAATTGCATTAAAAAAAGTGTTTATTATGCAGACCTGTAATATCTCACATGGATCTTTTGTTAAAAGGAAAAATTTATAAAATAGAAAATATTAATAAATTGTTTTTTTATTATTCTATTTATGATAGGCCTAATTATTTACGATAAGCAAAATAACTTTAAATCAACAATACTTAGTATTTAACTTGCTCTTAAAAGTGGAAACCAGATTACTTACAAGACTGGAAACTCGCTTGTGCGTTGTAACTTATAACTTTTTGAAATTAAGTAGTTAAAAACTATCAAAATTACAGGAGTAAAAATACACAACGTGATCGTATACAGTATGCTTAGTGGACTAAAAATGATTGCATAATTAAATCAAAAATTAAAAAAACTATTGGTATAATGTATAGAGTTAGTCCTTTTATTAATTTTCAAAGTCTTAAATTAATATACTTTAGCCTAATTCATAGCTATATCTCTTATGGTAACATTGCTTGGGCAAGAACCCAACCCTCTAAACTTAAAAGGATATTTAGTGTACAAAAGCATGCTTGCAGTATTATATACGGAAAAAACAATTTTGAGCATGCAAAGCCATTAATGAGGAATATGAAGATTATTAATGTATACGAGATAAATACATTTCATCATATGATCTTTATGTATTATCATTTAAAAAATTTCGCACCGAAAAACTTTAAAACAAAATTTAAGATAAATCAAAACAATAACTGTTCTCTGAGATCAAACGAGAGGCTCACATACACACTACCTCGTAAACTAAATACAAAGAATATAGAATTATATATCGAGGGCCTAAGATATGGAACATGGTTTTAAAAGTAATCACATCAATACGGTGAAAACAGTAAATTCATTTAAGTTTTATATAAAAAAAAAAGAAATTTTGGAATCAAATGACAGCTTTGAAACTTAACATATACACTAATGTTTTTTTAATATGCACTATCGTTTTTTAACCTAATTTTTTCATATATTCAAAGGAATTTATTCCTCTTATTGTCTTTTTTTCTTTATTTTTATTATTATTTTTTTACGGAATTTAGTTATTTTTTAAAGATTTTAACGTTTTTTTTTTTTTTCTTTTTTTTTTTCTTTTTTCTCTTTTTGTTTAAAATAACTTTTCTTTGCAATTGTTAAAGCTCACATAGGGACTCTATGAAAAGATTGTGGTGACTCTGGCCATCCATATCTTCTTTTAGCCCCTGTCTGTTTATATAAATATATATAATTTTTTTTTTTTTATGGAATATATTTTTTATATTAGTGTGTGAACAGCAAAATATGAGGGGAAAAAATACGACTAAAAAAATGATTGCATAATTTATATTTCCTATTACATTTATAATACACATGTAAAAATAAATCTACAATAAATACAAATAGTTGAATTTAATAAATACATTTAATCTACTTCTTCTATAGTTGGTCCACCGGAACTACCTTTAGAGCCACTCCCTGGCATACCACCTGGCATACCACCTGGCATACCACCTGGCATACCACCACCAGCTTGATAAAGCTTCGTAATAATAGGGTTGCACACTTTTTCAAGTTCTTTTTGTTTATGCTCATACTCATCTTTTTCGGCAGTCTATAACGATTAAAACATATAACATACTAAGACGCATATAGGAAAGAAATATATCTATTTCCTTAAATTTAAAGAGTTGATACTTAAAATGCATGTAAAAATTAGAAAAATTTAAGAAAATTTAAGAACAAACGGCCCACCTGATTTTTATCAACCCATTCTACCGTTTCATTGCATTTTTTAATAATGGTCTTTTTATCTTCTTCGCTAATTTTTCCTTTAACTTTTTCATCCTCAACAGTTTGTTTCATATTATAACAGTAGCTTTCCAAAGAGTTCTTTGCTTGAACTTTATCTCGCTGAAGTTCGTCATCGGCTTTGTACTTTTCAGCTTCTTGCACCATCCTTTCAATATCTTCTTTAGAAAGACGACCTTTATCATTAGTTATGGTAATTTTATTTTCTTTTCCAGTACTTTTGTCTAGTGCAGAAACATTTAGAATTCCATTTGCATCAACATCAAAAGTTACCTCGATTTGAGGAACACCTCTTGGAGCAGGTGGAATACCCGAGAGTTCAAACTTGCCCAGGAGGTTATTGTGGGCTGTCATACTTCTTTCTCCCTCAAAAACTTGGATTAAAACTCCAGGTTGATTGTCTGAATACGTCGTGAACACCTGGGAATATTTAGTTGGAACAGTAGTGTTTCTTTTAATTAATGGAGTAAATACTCCACCAGCTGTCTCAATTCCAAGTGATAAAGGTGCGACATCAAGAAGTAATAGATCTTGAACTGCTTCATGTTTATCACCAGCCAAAATAGCTGCTTGAACAGCGGCACCATAAGCAACAGCTTCATCCGGATTAATTGATTTGTTGAGCTCCTTACCATTAAAAAATTCCTGAAGTAGACTTTGCACTTTTGGAATACGAGTTGAGCCACCAACCAAAACAACTTCGTGGATGTCAGACTTTGAGAAATTTTGACCGCTACTGTTTTTTCCAGCATCTCTAATAGCATCCGCAACAGGACCTAGGGTACCTCTAAACAAATCAATGCATAACTCTTCAAAACGTGCGCGTGTGATTGACGTGTAAAAATCAATTCCATCAAACAAAGAATCAATTTCAACACTTGCTTGAGTACTGGCTGAAAGTGTTCTCTTAGCCCTCTCGCATGCTGTTCGTAAGCGTCGCAGAGCTCTTTTGTTGGAAGAAATATCTTTTTTATGTTTTCTTTTAAATTCATCAACAAAATGGTTGACAAGACGATTATCGAAATCTTCACCACCAAGATGTGTGTCACCTGCAGTTGATTTTACTTCAAATATACCATCTTCTATCGCAAGAATAGAAACATCAAAAGTTCCACCACCCAAATCAAAGATAAGCACATTTTTCTCCGTTCCAACTTTTTTATCGAGACCATAAGCAATCGCAGCTGCAGTCGGTTCATTGATAATTCGCAAAACATTCAACCCAGCAATAACTCCCGCATCTTTAGTTGCTTGACGTTGAGAATCATTAAAGTAAGCAGGTACAGTTATGACAACATCTGTGACTTTTTTACCAAGATACGCATCCGCTATTTCCTTCATCTTTAGCAGCACCATGGAGGATATCTCCTCTGGGTAGAATGATTTCGTTTCTCCTTTAAACTCAACTTGAATCTTTGGCCTGGATCCATCATCTATAACCTGTAAGTAAACCAAAACGCAATTCAGATTTCGTAATAAGTATGTAAAAATATTCGAAATTAAAGAAAACTAACAGATATAGTTTATTAGTAAATAAAAATCTAGCAAAGTTATTGTTTAGATTTCTCTTGGTTTTAGAGAACAACAGCTTACATTAAATGGCCAATGTTTTCTATCTGAAGTGACCGATGGATCGTTAAATTTTCTACCAATCAATCGTTTCGCATCTACAAAAATTTTTACATTATTGGTTATTATTTTACTTGACAATCAATCTAAAATTTCTAATTAAAAAAAAAAGGTTTATAAATGAATAACTATTTTAACGCTTACCAAACACTGTGTTTGAAGGGTTCATAGCAACTTGATTTTTTGCTGCATCTCCAATTAATCTTTCTGTGTCGGTAAATGCAACGTAACTTGGAGTGGTGCGATTCCCTTGCTCGTTAGCAATTATTTCAACTTTTCCGTGTTGGAAAACTCCAACACAAGAGTAAGTTGTGCCAAGATCAATTCCAATAGCTGGCGCTTTAGACATTTTTTGTATTTTAAAATAATTTATCTGCTCCTTTCTTTCTCTCTCTTTTCTTTGACGGCTGAACGACTTAAAGTTTGTTTATCATCATATACAAGTTATCGTTTTATACTGATTTATTGTTATTCATGAACGGGGGTGCAGCTTGTAACTAAATGTTTGTCAAAAAGTTGAATAGAGTAAAAAAAAAAATTAATATTTTCTAATAGCCTAAAAAAGTAATACTTTTTATACGTTTTAAGTTAAAAAAATAATTTTATGCTATAAACTACTAAAATATGTTAACTGTAATTTTTTTTAGTATTCCTAATTTCAAAATTTTCTAGATAGTTCTAGTTTTTTTAAAGAATCAGACGGTAAATTCGTAATGTTCTCGATTTACCATTTACAATATCATCAATTTACTCGAGTTGAATTATTATAGACGTTCCTTTTGAATTCATAGAAAATTAGCAAGCTTTAGGGAGCATAGAGGTTCTATATTTTAGTTGTTGATAAAATATTCATGAATGTATAATTTTGTAGATTTTACGCCTTTGAGTTTTTAACAAAATAAAAATTAAAACTTTATTGTCAAATTGAGAAAAGTTAAAATGAGGAAAAGCTTGCCAACATTTTCCCTATTTCATTCAGATAAAAACCATCAAATGCAAAATGTTTATTCAATTTTTATCAGAGTAAAAATCAAATAATATTTACTGGTGCCTCATTGACTTGAAGTTTTTCTATTTTGAGTTTTTTCGACAAGTCTTGTTACGATTAATGAAGTCCTACAGGGCCACACCTCCAGGTCCTACAGGTCCACACCTCATAAAAAGTCAACATAATGCTTTGTATTTATTTATATTTTATTTTTAAGAACTATATAGTTTTTTTTAATTGTTTAATAATAAATGCTATGGTTGTTAATTGTTTTTTTATAAAACATAAGGCAAAATAGTGAGGCAAGTGTGATATTGAGTTATGTAGTATCTAAAGGCTTTCAAGTTGGCTTGCTTAATTGCATTGCAACTAATTCCTATTTTTGCATAATTTTTAGCATGTATAGCATATAAATTTATTTGGCCTGTATATGTACTAGTATGGCACTTGGCTATTACATGTTCTTTAGTTACCATTATAACAACACAAGTTAACTTTCTTATGAGAAAGCCTGGTTTTTGGAAACTTATTATAAAATAGAATTACTATTTATTATTACAAAAATCTTTTAATATAGCTTTATATTAATATGCATACATTTAAACAGCTTTATTTTAATATGCATACATTTATATTAATATGCATACATATTATGCATGCATATTAATATAAAGCTATAATAAAAGATTTTGTTTCAACAACAAAAAACACTTCATAAATGAGATGTATAATTTTAAATAATAAATTGTCAAAAAGAAAAATTTGGGATTTATTTCTTCCTTACCAAAATTTTTAAAATAATCTTTTTAAATTTAAGTTTGAAACATTTAATTTGATATTAAGATTACTTAGGAGGAAGAGGGGGTCTCAAAGGGGGTCTCAAATTTTTTACAGAACACGAATAAGCAATTTAACTCTAGCTTGCGCTCAAATGAGCATTTTTTAACAGCTGTTTCATCATAATTTCAAAAGAATTTAATATGCTTACATGATCTTTACACTATGTAAGAAATAAGCGAATAGAAAAATGCAAGATTTTTTAAAGGTCAAAGATTTTTAAAGCCTAATTAAAAAAAGAAATTAAATTATTTGCAATTATGGCTATTATAATTTTATATAAACAAACATGTTAACATTTAGTGATTTTGTTTCAAATATATATTTAACTAGTTTCAGAAGTTTACATTTTCTGCTATATTCATATTCATTTTGAATTTCTTTATTTTGTCATTGGTTGAAATAAATATGTTATTAAATTAAACAATTTAATTTTCTAAAAGTTCCTTTAAGGCAGAACTTGAATTGCAGTTATGAACACCATGTATATATTTTTGAATATTTTTCCATACGTTTATCTTTGACCTTTGTCAGTTACTCCTAAATGTTGTCTAATTTGCATAAAACTTAAGTTTTTATGTAATATACAATACAGTAGTTAGCATTAATAGATTTTGATATTTGGAAAAAAAGAGCTTCCCAGCCATCAGCCACCCTGCTGATTAGAATTAAATTAACTTTTTGATTAGAATAAAAGTCATAATACTGGATCATCAGAATGCATCAAGAGAAAGATCATTGGCATCAAGAATGTATTTAACAGAAAATATCTATAGTCTCTGCCCTTACAAAAAAAACCAGTGAACTTTCACTGGAAATCTAAAAGATCACTGGAAATTCATGGAGTTCGCTGAGTTTTTAGCAAAACTTTCTGGAAACGATAGATTTTGCTGGAAGTTCACTGGAATGCTAATTCCAGTTTGCATCAAATTTTTTGCATCAATTCTGTGAGCACTTAGTACCTTGTAGAATTAATATTAGGGCTGTACCGGATTTCGGCTCCGGCTCCTGCTCCGGCTGAAATCCGGCCATTTTTACAAATCCGGCCATTTTTACAAATCCGGCCCAAATCCGGCTCCGGCAAAAATTTAGCAAATCTGGCATAATTTTAGCCGGAGTTTTGAATTTTGTCAAATATTTATTACATTTTTTTTGCCCGTGTTTACATGTATACCTAATATTTTATTTATAAAAATCAATTTTTTTTGTAATTCTATATTTTATGAACCTCATATTTGTTTTGGTATTTGTATTTATATTTCTTTATAATTTAATAAGCTTAGTCTAATTTCAAACAACAACGCAACAAAAAATTCTGAAGGGAAGACACACGATATTCTACAATGATGCAGGTATAAAGACTATGATGTCAACCCTAATCAAGTGATTGGATGAGCGTTTTAAAAGCATTGAAAAGAGAAACCTCTTTATATACTGATGAAGCTGGTTGACTCACAATTTAAAACTAAATTCTCCTCATTACAGGCAACACTGACAGCTGAAAAAACAAGATTGAAGTCAATCTGAGCATGCTGAACAGAAGATTGACAAAACTGAAGAAAATCCACCAAAATAAGCCGGGCTTAATCATTTTTCTACATCATCATTATCATTACTCTGGCAATTTATTGATAAAATTATTCAGTCTATGTCCGCTGGTGGCAGGGCACATAAACAACAATTACTAAAAGGCATTGAAACTCAGCTAAGGAAATATCCGAAAGTACCAGAAATAGACACAATGATCCACTACAGAGGCGGAGTGACAAAATCCCGGAAATAAAGTTCAATAGAATTACTATAAGCTTTTAAAACATATGGCCTATAGAATTTCTTTAGAATTTTTATTAATTTATATATAGAAATTGCTACAAAACTTTTTAAATAACAACAATGAAGTTTAACAGAAAACAGCAGTCACTTGGTATTCTGAATAGTCCACATTGTTGACCATGCTCAACACCAAGTAGCGATACAGGATTTTGGCTCCTGTAGTTTTGTTTTGAAATCTGGCTCCGATTCCGGCTGGATCTGTCAGTAAAAATCCGGCAAATCCGGCTTCGGCCGGATTTGAAAAAATTAAATCCGGTACAGCCCTAATTAATATATACTGCACAGAGCCCACCCAAAACTGCACAGAGCCCAAAAGTGGTATCAGTAATGACTATAAGAGTTTCTCTGTGGTGTTTACCAGTATTGCAATTGTTTGTAGTTAACTGCAAAAGTATGATCAACACAATCATAATACTGAAAAATGTTAAAAATCTCTCTTGCCTGAACTTCTTTTGTAGGATTTTTAATTATGCGATCACCTAACAGATTGTATTCTGTTTTTCAAAAAAATGGTAAAAAAAGCAGCAGCATTGTAATCTTATTAGACTTCTTTTAAAACTTTAAAGTTTTTTTGGGTTAGATGACTTAGATTGTAGAATATTGTGTGTTTTTTTTTTGTTTGTTGTTGTTTTTTTGACACGGGCTACAGTGAAATAGTATTAATAATAAAGTCTTGCACATATTATAGATACAATGCTGTATCTATAATATGTTTTTTTTTTATTTAATCATACTATATAATATAATTATATAGTATCATTAAATGATACATACTATATAATATACAGACAGTATCAGTGGTGTACACTGGATTTTTAGATGTTTGAGTTTTGACACTTACAGGCATTATGCAAACTCCAAACCTTTGTATATTCATGCTTATGTCAAATGAGAATGTTTTGCAAAGAGTTGCGGTGATTGGAGCTTGGGGACAAAAAAATCCAATTTTTGGGCCCATCCAGCCCTTAATGTGGGAGCAACAAGTTTATAAAATATTTTCTTTAGTTTTTTTTATCTAAGTTTATATCCATTAACAAAAATTTTAAATTTCATGCAATTATCTCTTATTTTTGAAAATTATGACCATACAATGTTTACAGCCCCCTCAATTTGAGGGGGCTGTAAACATTGTATGGTCATAAGAACTGAACACTAAGAGATTATTGCATGAAATTTAAAATTTGTTTAGAGCTGTTAAAGGCTGGATCAGCCCAAAAATTAGGGCTTTTTTGTCCCCAAGCTCCAATCACCGCAACTCTTTGCTAAACATTCTCATTTGACATAAACATGAACATGCAAAAGTTTGCACAATGAGTATTATATATAGTTATATTATATAAAGTTTATATTATATATAGATACGATATATTATAATATAGTATCTATATATAATATAAACTATATATAGTGTAAACTATATATAATATAAACTATATATAGTGTAAACTATATATAATATAAACTATATATAATATAACTATATATAATACAATGATACTATACATTTTATAGTATCTTACTATATAATATTGTACAGTATTGCATGTATAGTATATATTGTATTATTTATAGTTATATAGTATATTTAATATTATACAGTATTGTATGTATAGTATGAATTGTATCATAATATCTATAGTATCATATTCTAATGTGCAATCAAATTATGATCTTGATTAGTTATATATATATATTTTTTAATATTTTAATAAAGTAATGAATTAATTGAATGAATATAGAATTTTAATA